TGACTCCTTGATCTTGACTTTCAGCCTACTCCCTAAGAAAAACAGTAACCAAAACAAACAAAGAAAAAAAACAAACCCATTGTCACTGAGTCAATTCCAACTCATAGTGCCCTATAGGGCAGAGTAGAACCATCCATCGCACAGGGTTTCCAAGGCTGTAATCTTTATGGGAGTAGATTGTCACACCTTTCTTTCATGGAGTGACTAGGTTTGAAGTGGTGACCTTTTGTTTAGCAACCGAAAACTTAGCCACTGTGGCACCAAGACTCGTTAGAAACAGACACAGAAGCCTAGAAAGGCAAGGGTCTTGGCAAATGACACTTCGACCCTCTCTGCAAGTCAGGATAGTGTTAGCACAGTCAGATCACATGACTAAATGCCTAGGACTGATCTCTAGAAACTGGCTAAGGAGTCAGATCAGGGTAGAGGTGGAGAGGCTAAACTGGACATGTACATAGTGTTGCCAGGGGGTCTGGGCAAGAGTTGGCTGGAGTGACATCATCAGTGATGAAAAAGTCTTCAGAAGACCTTCCCACAGGCCCTCATATGGCAGGTAGGGTAGAACTGAGAAGAGGAGGTTATGGATAACCATGACAGCTATGTCAATGACATTCTCCACTCTAGCAAGGATAGGTAAAGATAAATATTTTGGACAGTCTTTAGAAAAGAATAAGGAAGGCACTGAGGAGTTGGTTTTGGGGGTAAAGCTAAGGTTGAGACTTAAGGGGTTGGGATTTAGGATTGATAATGGTTGTACACCTGGTGAGGGGCAGGAAGCTGGGAGCCTGTAGGCATGATGCTGTTAATAAATAAATGGATTAATAATGATCATATATTGCAGTTATGTAATATATTCTTATACATTTTCCTATCTGTATAATTGCCTGGGTCAGTGTGATTATCTGACACTATGTGCAGCCAGACATTCTGCATGAAGAATAAGCTTTGAGAATTAAAGTATTGTCCTCAGTAGCTAGTTAAGGGTTGTTGTTGTTAAGTGCCATCGAGTCAGTACCAATCATAGCGACTTTATGCACAGCAGAACGAAACACTGCCCGATCCTGGGCTAACCTCACTACTATTGCCACACTTGAGTCCATCAATGCTACCACTTGGCCAATCCATCTCGTTGGGGGTCTTCCTCTTTTCCTCTGACCCTGCACCTTACACACTATGATATCCTTATCCAGAAACTGGTCCCTCCTGAAAATATGTCCGAAGTTTGGCCATCTTGGCCACCAAGGAGCACTCTGGCTGTACTTCTTCCAACACAGATCTGTTGGTTCTTTTGACAGCCCATGGCACTTTCAATATTTTCCTGCAACACGATAACTCAAAAGCATCAATTCTTCTATGGTCTTCATTATTCACTGTCCAGCTTTCACATGCATATGTGGTTATTGAAAATACCATGGCTTGGGTCAGGGGCACCTTAGTTCTTAAGCTGACATCTTTGCTCTTCAACACTTTAAAAAGTTCTTGTGCAGCAGATTTGCCTAATGCAATATGTCCTTTGATTTTCTTGACTGCTGCTTCCATGAGTGTTGATAGTTGATCCAAGAAGAATGAAATCCTTGACAACTTCAGTCTTTTCTCTTTTGATAAGAATGTTGTTTATTGGTCCAATGGTGAGGATTTTTGTTTTCTTTACATTGAGATGCAATCCATACCAAAGGCTGTGCTCTTTGATCTTCATCAGTAAGTATTTTAAGTCCTTTTCACTTTCAGCAAGCAAGGTTGTATCATCTGCATATCGCAGGTTGTTATGAGTCTTCCTCCAATCCTGATTCCACGTTTTTCTTCATATAATTCAGCTTCTCAGATTATTTGCTCAGCATACATGTTGCGTAAGTATGGTGAAAGAATACAATACTTTCTTAATTTGAAACCATTCCGTTTCCCCATGTTCTGTTCGAACAACTGCCTCTTGGTCCATGGACAGATTCCTCATGAGCACAATTAAATGTTCTGGAATACTCAAACTTCACAATGTTGTCCATAGCTTGTCATGACCCACACAATCAAAAGCCTTTGGGTAGTCAATAAATCACAGCTAAACATCTTTCTGATGTTCTCTGCTTTCAGCCAAGATCCATCGGACATCAGCAATGATGTCCCTTGTTCCACAGCCTCTTCTGAATCCGGCTTGAACCTCTAGAAGTTCTCTGTCGATGTATGCTTGCAGCCGTTTCTGTATTACCTTTAGCAAAACTTTACTCGCATGGGATATCATAGAGATTGTCCAATGATTTCTGCATTCCGTTGGGTCACCTCTCTTTGGAATGGGCAAAATACGGATCTCTTCCAATCAGTCGGCCAGATAGTTGTCTTCCAAATTTCTTGGTAGAGATGAGTGAGTGCCTCCTGTGCCGCCTCACTTTCTTGAAAGATTTCCATTTTGATTCCATCAATTCCTGGTGCCTTGTTCTTTGCCAATTCCTTCAATGCACCTTGGACTTCCTCCTTCAGTATCATTGACTCTGGATCATATGGTACCTCTTGAAATGGTTGAACATCAATCATGTCCTTTTGGTACAGTGACTGTGTATTCTTTCCATCTTTTTTTGATGCTTTCTGCATCATTCAATAATTTGTCCAGCGAATCCTTCAATAACGAAAATCAAGGCTTGAATTTTTTCTTCAGTTCCCCTAGCTTGAAAAATGCTGAGCATGTTCTTCCTTTTTGTTTTTTTTTACTCCAGAACCTTGCACATTTTGTTGTAATATTTGACCAAAAAATGGGGGGCTAGAAAAGCATGAAATGGCTGGTTTACAAGCTTTCAGTAGTGTGCTTAATTTCAGAACAAGGGGATAAGGTAGACACCCCACTGAATAGTTTTTCTCTTGTCCAGATGGGTCTGGTGAAAGGGAATGGGGGATGATGGGGATAGGGTTCTTTTGATTCAATAGTGAGTAATTTTTATCCTGACTAATTGTGATTGTCACAGCTGTAAAGATAGAAGATGTGAAACCAAAAGGAGGGAGTAGTTAATCTCTCATTCCAGAAACAGAGGACCCTAGGCATATCAAGAGAGAAGAACATGAGTGAGATCCTAACCAGAGAAGCAGCGACACTAAAGATGGTGGCAGAGATGATGGCATGCAGCGATAGAACAGCTAAGGACTCTATAGACCCATGGAATAAGAAAGGCTGCATGCCGGCGGGCAGGAAGCTGGCTTGCAAAATGTGCCCCATTGGTCATTTAAATGATACATATTTTCTGTGTGCTTTGTGTACACCCCCCCGCCCCCCCAAAAAAAGATAGAGAGAAAAAATACACCAAGGGTGCATGCAGGAAATTGTAATCATTGCAATGAAACAAAATATGATTGGTTGAGTGTAAAATTGATGATCTGTCCTGTAAACTATCACTCAATTCACAATAAAAGCTTTAAAAATAAACATAGAATCCAGGTCTCTTGGTTCCTGGGCCAGTGCACTTCCAGTTATTCTTTCATTAAAGAGGATTGGAAACCAGGGACATCTGACCTGGTTAAAGAGGTAGGATAAGATCAACAAGGAGATAAGGCTGGTGCCAGGATGTGGAGATGATCTAGACCTCTCTCTGCCACCGATCCTGATGGCCAGAGAATCCTATACCCCAGCAACTCCATTCCTGAACATATACCCAAGAAAAATGGATACATTAAGTTCACAAAAGACAGGCACAAGAATAATCATAGCAGCTTTATTTATAATCAGCAAAAACACAAAACATGTCAAATGCTCATCAACAGAAGAATAGATAAATAAACTGTGGGATATATCTATGCAACAGAATACTACTCTGGGATAAAAAGGAACAAACTATTCATATGTACAACCATATTCATAAATCAAGAAGGCATTATGAGTGAAAACAGCCAGTCTCAAACGAGCACATTCAGTATGATCAAAACTAACCTAGAGTGTTGGTAATCAAATCAGTGATTGCTTCCGGGGAGTGAGGGAGACTGATTGGGAAGGGGCTCAAAGGAATTTTCTGGGGTTCTGGAAATGTTTATGTCTTGACTTGGGTGCTGATAACATGTACATAGTCACCTTAAGATGTGTACATTTTCCCGTATGTAAATTATACCAAAATGTTGAAGCTCAGCTTTATAGGAAAGAGACAGTTGGAGAGAAAAAGGAAAGGGTCCTAAAAAGAATAGCTGTGACTTCCCAAGTTGGCTCTTGTGTAAGGTGACCAATTGTCCTGATTTGGCTGGGACTGAAGAGTTTCTTAGGATATGAGACTCTCAGTGCTAAAATCAGGAGAGTCCTGGACAAACTGGACAACTAATCACCTACCTACATGGAAATAGTAACTAAGAAAGGGTGTTTGGAGGTCTGTCAGAGAGGCTGCTTAGTCCCAGGGCCTAGAGGCTGCTTAGGAGAGCTCAGAGAGCCGGCAGCCAAAAGAAAAGGGTGGTAGGCACTTCTGGTCAGCACCAGGAGTGTTAGGGTTGGTGAGGCATCTTTGTTCCTCCTCAGGGTTCCTGCCACTCTACGAGCAGGGATGGCTGGGTTAGGCTGCTCCTTTTTGGAACTGGAGGTAAAAGGCCTCAGAGACTTTGTTGAGGTTGTCCAGTTCTGAGCATCACAATTTCTGGGTTAGGTTCCAAGGAGAATCTCTCTCTCCAAGACCTCTCTTTACATCCAGCATCACTCCTCATCCTCCCTAGGCCAAAACAGTACATGATTGTGGAAGTATAACTGAGACATAGTGCTCTATGGAAGGCAAATGCTGTTGCATTTCTTCACCTGTTTCACAGGATCACCTCCACAGTCGCCTCAGGTAGGGATGGGCCTACCTGTCCTTTCCCCATTTTGCTCACAATGACCTACTACGGCTTGGACCATGGGGTTCTCTCTGCTTTCTAATAGCATGGGATGGATAGGCAATGAGGAAGGGGCTCCCCAGCTCTTCAAGTGGAGTTCCTGGTGGACTCTGGCAGGGCTGGGCAAGTTTGATCCACAGAGAAGAGGGCAGGAGCCAGTGGGGGGATGGAGGGTAGGCTCAGAAGTTCTCGTAGTGGTGTATGAAGTGGGCCCGGTCTTCCTGGTTGATGAGCTGACAGGCTTTCTCTACATTCTTAGTCATTCCTGGAGGACCGCAACTGAACACCCCAATCTTCCGCACCTGTCAAGGTATAGGGAATAGAGGATGGTTAGAAAGGGAGGAGAGGCCTGCAGGCTTGAGATATTCACTCCCTGGAGGAAGCCGCTTCTTAAATTTGGCTGGGGAGACCAGCACATCAACCTTAGACCTTGGGCAGGCAGCTTGAGCTGTGTGTGTGACTTTCCCTGAAGCCCTCCTCTGACAGTCCCATCCTGTGTGACTGAGGACAGAGAAAGGCCAGAGTGCCCGAGTGGGCTGAGGCAGAGCTGACCTGTGGATGGACCTCCTGCAGGGAGTTGAAGAAAGGTTTGAAGGGGGGTCGGCCAAAGTGGGTGATGGAGCGCAGGCCCGTGAACAGACTCCGGTTCAGCACCTTCTGGAAGTGCCGCTCACAGATGTACTGGGGATGCAGGGGAAGAGAAGGTCAAGTTGGGAATAGCCAGGATCAGGGAGTGCCCTGCCTGCTGACCCTGACATACTAGCATGGTTGTCCTGAGGTCGAACTTCTCAGCCAGCTGGGTGATGTAGATGTGCACGGACACCAGATCCTGGTGGTCATTCTCCTCTACCTCCCGGATGATGTCAGCCAGCCACTCGAACTGCTTCTGCGTCCTCGTCACCCAGATGAAGTAGATCTGGGAAAACGTGGCTTAAGCTTGGGGACCCAGCTCAGCTGGGGGTCTTTCTGCCTCTGGGGCCTTCACATGAGAGGCTGGGAAGCCCCACACCACCCACAGACACCAAGCCTCTGACTGGACCACCTGCCTGATCCAATGTTTCTAACTAAGAGACCCCAGCAGGGACCCTCTGATTACACCACTCACCCCTCACTCAACCAGTGGTATCTGGATAGCTGTGTATGGATGGCCTTAGAGGACCCAGTTTCTGGGGGCTGGGGGATTTTCCTCATGCTACTCTGCTTTGAGGACTCCTGGTGTGGCGCTGTGGGTTAATGCGCCAGACTGCAACGCCGTTAGAACTGCAAGGTCAGCAATTCAAGCTCACCAGCTGCTCCTCGGAAACCCTATACAGGGTTGCTATGGGTCAGAACTGACTCGATGGCACTTAACAACAACAACAACAACTGTGCTATGATACAGGGACACACTTAGCCTTTGAAGAATAGGGGAAGAACATTCACCTTTTTACAGAGCATTTGTCTGCCCAAGGATGACTTGAAGACCAGATCTTTGAGGATAGAGGCAAAGGGGGTGACGCCAATGCCCCCTCCCACCAGCACTGACACTTCAAACTTATGCCATTCCTGGTGACCTTCACCAAATGGTCCATCGAGGTAGAGCTGCCAAGAGAAGGGAAGATAAGCTGTGTCTGATCCTGCCCCAGCCCCGAAGCCAGAATAGAGGGGCCGTGGGCAGGGTGGATGTGGGCGCCTCCTAACTTCTTTGGAGGCACCCTTCTCTCTCCCACCCTGGCCTTGGAGTGGCTGGAACTTCTAGTCTCAGGATGGAGGAGAGCAAGGACTCTTTGTCAAGGCCAGAGACCCAGTAGCCGGGTTCCCAGTGATGGGGTACCTTTGGGTATCTGGCACTGCTGTCGCCAGCTGGGGGTGAGTAGATCTCCCTGAGGCGAGTGGTCCAGGGCCCAACTGCTCGGATGTGCAGACTGAGCGTGTCCTCATGGGGAGCGGAGGTGAGTGTGAAGGGGTGGTACTCAGTGGTCCCCAGAGCCAGGCACGCGATCCGCACCCACTGCCCTGACTTGTACTCAAAGCCTTGGGGCCGCTGGAACCGCAGGTGGGTCACTCCTAAGGGTCATGGAAGTGGAAGGATATGGATCAGAAGACCTGCTGTTTGCACCTGAGGACTGGCAGGCACACGTCTGAGGCACAGGAAGTAGAATGCTGCTACTGGGACAGAAAAGCTGTTTCTCTGTTTCCTGGTAACCCAAGAGCTGGGCTCCCTACCCCCATTCTAGTCCGTCTTCTCTGTACTCTCTTCCCATGAAGGGTCCCGGTCCCATACCCCTGCTCTAGAGACTAGGCTGCCAGGTCAGGGCACCTTAGTCTCCTCACATATTCCTCAGGGGACCCTTCAGACTTTATTAAGCTCTCACTGTTTGAGGGTTACCTTTGCAATCTGGGTCATATCTGCACTCCTGTACTGTTCTTTATATACTGAGCTTCCTTAAATTTGCCTGCTTTTTCAATTCCATTTCTCTAGCTAGGAAATTTCAGATCATTAAGGTGAGTGGAAAACCAGTAGCATGTGCTTTAAATGGAAAGCAATACATTTTGTTATCAAGTTTTAGCTGTCTTGTTGTTGTTGTTAAGTGTTGTTGAATCGGTTCTGACCCATAGAGACCTGGTATGGGGTTTCTAAGGAGCAGCTGGTGAGTTTGAATCACTGACCTTGAAGTTCAAACTGATCTTGTGGTCGAGTGTTTATCCTACAGCACCACGCCAGGACTCCACCAGGATTCCTTTAGCTGGATGGGTGCCATGGAGTCAGTTCTGACTCATAGTGACCCTGCACAGGGTTTCTGAGGCTGTAAATCTTTGCGGGAGCAGAAAACCTCATCTTTCTCTCACAGAACTGCTGGCAGTTTCAGACTGTTGACCTTGAGGTTAGCAGCCAGATTTGTAACCACTGTGTTATTAGAGTTCCTTTTACTGGAGTCTCAGGCCACTCTCTGTTTATAAAAGAGATTAGCAAGTGCTGGAGAGTGCAAAAGACTTAGGAACACCACTCTGAGACTTTCTCCTTAAGGCAATCTTGATTGAAATAATATTGAAATGAGGTTGATTTTCTTACTATTGTTGTAAAGGCCATTGAATTGCTTCTGACCCCTGGCTATCCTGTATAGAGTTTCCAAGAAGTAGCTGTTGTTGTTGTTAAGTGCCATGGAGTCAGATCCGACCCATAGTGACCCTACACAGGGTTTCCTAGGAGCGACTGGTGAGCTTCAACCGCCGACCTTGCAGTTCAAACGGCTTTGCAGTCTGGCACATTAACCCATAGCACCACAGTAGCTGTAGGAATCCTAAAACAGTAGTTCCTGTGACACCTAAGGAGTCCCTGAGTGGTGCAAATGGTTCATGCACTCTGCTGTTAACTAAAAGGTGCCTAGGAAGAAAGTCCTGGCAGTCTACTTCCTAACAATCAGCCATTGAAAACCCGATGGAACACAGTTCTACTCTGACACATATGAGGTCACCATGAGTCAGAGTCAATTGGACAGCAACTGGTGGCACCTAAAATGATACAAGTCTCTACCTTGGCCAACACTGGACTCTCCTACCTTCTGGGCCATTTTCCTGGCCCTGAAGAAGGTTATTCTGAGAGAAGGATGTGATAGAGATATATGAGAGAGCTTCAAAAAGTTTGTGGGAAAAAATACATTATCTTGCAATTCCATTTTTCCACAAACCTTTGATGCCACTTCATATAGTTCACTGCCCTGGACTTCCCCTGGCTGGGCCTAGGCCAAATAGCTGTGTGTGTGTGTGGTGGTGTGTGTGGTGGTGGTGGTGGTGGTGGGGTGCTCTTATCCTCAAACCCCTCTGTGTGCACATTCAGCTACCTCTTCTCAGTTACTTCTTCCTGTCTGCAAATGCTCCCTGGGAGCTAAGTACAGCCCTTTGCATGACTACAGAAGTCCAAGAGGCTGTGATGGGATCAGACAGCCTGGGTAGCTGTCTCCCCAAGTCCCAGGGACTGACCTTCAACACTCCCCACCTAGGTCGGGCTCTACCTGGTACCTGAGGGCAGCAGCTCTGCCTTTATCACGCTGATCTCCACCTTCTTCCTGCTCAGGCTCACCAGCTTGTCGCCCCCATAGATGAGTGCAGGAACCAGGAAAAAGATGTGGAAACGGGGCGTCTGAATCAGGGCGTAGCTGCCGTGGATGATGAGCTGCAGACGTGGTCAGTTAGTACAGCTCAGACCTAGCTAGGCCCCCTCCCTGTACCCCACCCTCTTGCCCAGACACTCCCTGCCTGGATTGGGTAGATGGGACTGGCAAAGGGTCTAAAGTTTGCGGTCTCAGCCCTGGCTGAGGACTTAGGGCTTGGTCCAGTTACCCCCTCCTTCCAGCATAGTGCTCATTCCTGCCCCATGGCCTGGCCCTGCCCAGCAAAGTTCCTCACCAGGATATAGAGCAGGATGTAGAGGTGGTGGGTCAGCCAGAAGCCCCGGAAGCTGCGCCGACGGAAGTGGTGGGAGGCGAAGACATACATGATGGCCAACACCAGGAGCAGCAGCACGCCCGTCATACCTGGGTGTGGGAGTGAGAAACAGGGTCAGCAAGAAGGACCTCTGCCTAGACTGAAAAGACCATAGAGAATGTGCTCTCAGTTCTGCCCACCTTCCTGACCTCCCTGATTCCTTTCGGCCCCTCTGCAGAACAGTTTGCTGGAGGAACTAAAGCTAGGACTTAGCCTGAGGGCTAGAAAAGAACTTGCTGCCTACTACAGCCAAGTATGTATTCCCATACTTGGGAAATTGAGAGGTCTTCAGATAAACAGGGTCCCCAGACACCCTGTAAGCCCACACCCTACCTGGGACTGTCTGGAAGAACCACCAGTAGAACTTCTGAGGAAGCTGGGACCTAGGAGACAAAGGAACACTGAGTCCCCGGCTTGGGCAGGAGGGGCTCCACCACTGCCACATCCCAATATGACTCTGCTCCCGCCAGCCTTGACTGCTGGGGTTACTGGGATCACCAAACACTGTTCTTTACCCAAGCGGCCAGGAATCTTTCCAAGGAACATGGTACCCAGCCTCCTGCAGTTCCGTACTCTGTCCTCTCAGCAGTTTTTACCTCCTGTGTTACCCTGGACCTGCATCCTGTGGTTAACTCTTGCCTCTATGAGTGCTTGGTTCATTATTGTGAACAAAACACAAAGCTCCACAAGGGCAAGGGATTTGTGTTTTGTTCACTGTTTTATCCTATGCTTAGAACAATGCTAGGCACATAGACAATGCTCAGTAAGGACTTGCTGAATAACTGATGTAGCTTGCTATTTCTGTTCTCTGGCATTTAGCTGGACATGTGAGACGTACTCCTTATATCTGCCCAATGATGGATGGTAGGCAAAATTGGCAAGCCATATGCCAACACATGTCATGCTGGGTAAGGTGGAGGGTCAGAGAAAAGAGGAAGACCCCCAACGAGATGGATCAGCCAGGTGGCATCACTGATGGCGTCAAGTGTGGTGGCGGTAGTGAGGTTGGCCCAGGATGGGACATTGTTTCGTTCTGCTGTGCATGGGGTCGCTATGAGTCGCTTCCGACTCAATGGCACCTGATAACAACAACATGCCAACACATGTGGGAGAGTCTCCAACTTACTTCTCCAAAGTCTTTTTACTGGTAAATCACTGTCTGCTCTCATCCCAAAGGCAGGGAACTCAAATCACTGTCTGCTCTCATCCCAAAGGCAGGGAACTCACCACTCAGCTTCCTCAAGGGACGCTTCTCATTCTGGCTCTGTTTAAGAAGCTGAGTTTCTAGGGCCATCTTTTCCCTTTTTATTACCCTCTCAAGTCCACCCCCAGGTGCCCCAAGAGGAATCTTCCCCAGAACTGACCCATCATTTATAAAGACGTTGGGGAAGATACAGGCAAGCAGGCTGAGGGGGCTGACTGAGAAGATGTAGACATTGACCACGTGACCAGCACTGTGCAAAACTGGAAGAGATGTATTCTATTAGAGTTGCCAACCAGGCTTGGCTCTACCTCCAATCCAGAGGGCGGAAAGGGTATCAGGGTCTCCAGTCTCCTTTTCCCCAACAGCTAGACCTGACAGTTGCAGCAGTGGGGAGGATGTCCATGAGCCACATACTGGCCAAGACAACAGCTGCCATGGCTATCCAGCGATGGAAGTCCACAGCGGCATCGAAGGGCACGTAGCGGTTGAGGAAGGTCTCCCGCAGGAAGGTGATGAGATTGCGGCACATGGTGAGCAGGATGTAGGAGAACATGAAGGAGACGCTGGCCGCTGTGCCCCGTGACAGGATGATGCCCACAAAGGTGGTCTGTGCAATGCCCGAAGGCGGCGAGGCAAAGGCATAGTCTGGGGAGGGAGAGGAGATGGGTCAGCATGGTACAAGAGGCCAGTGGTCTTGGGCTGGCATTAAATACCTTCCACCTGATTGCTGAGAACCAAGAAGAGCAACCCCAGGGCTGTCCACCTGTCTACTTCTCTCCACACCTGACTCTCCCAGCCACCCATCACCTGGTACTCTTACAGTAAGCCCGCTCTGCAAACAGGCCAGCACAGATGGCTGAGAAGATGGTGACACACACAATGTGTCGCCGGTAGTTCTCCACAAAGCGCTTGTACTGCTTCATCTTCTGGGCCAGGAAGCCCCGCTGCATCCTCTCCTGCAGTGCCTCCGTGTACAGCCGGGGAGGGGACATCACTACCCTACTGCCATGAGACACAATGGGTGGGAGGTTGAGATACCCTGGTCGCCCCAATGAAAGGTGACCTGGTGACCTGACAGAGATCAAGGTAGCCAGACAAATGAACAACAAAGGCATTTGGGAGCAGACCCACACTCCCCCAATCTTCTACCTCCCATCTTTACTTGCTCCATCCACCTATTCTTCCCTCTCCCTACTACTCCATCTATTCCTCTTCCTGTTCGCTCTGTCCTTTTCTCGCCCCTGCCCCTCTCTGCACAGGCCTCACTGCTCGGCCCACAGCAGGTAAAAACCAGAAGACCTGTCTGTACCACCTTGGTGTTGATTCTGAACACAAGGCCCTGCCCCTAAAGAATGGGATGCAGAGGTTGACAGAGATTGAAGAGTCCACCTCGCATCAGGTCAGAGACAAAGACAATAAGTCTCAGATGGTCCCTTGTATGGCAAAAAAGTCTAGGCAGTGTCCAGAAACCCTGAGTCTTCTCCCCATTCCTCTCTAGGCCCAGGGATCTGGGAAACACTCACTTTTTGCCAAACCTCTTCTTCAGTCCAGGTCCTCCCAGTTCTGGGGCTTCTGAGGCAGGGAGCCCCGGTACACTGGGGCAAGAGCTGATAAAAAGACAATGACAGCATGTTCAAGTGAATGAATAAACTCTGGTCATCTGTGTTATAGAATAATTTTGGCCTAGAGGAGCAAGGAGAGAGCCAGGCTCCTGGACAGCATGGGCTGTGTGAGGCAGCTGGAATTGGGACTAGGATTACTTTCAAGTGGCAAATCTCTGACCCCAGGGGCTGAGTCAGCGGTCCTATATCCCTCATTTCTCTGTAGATGACCTGTCCAAGGGAAACTCCTAACATCCAGGCCTGCTCACCGTTCGTGAGGAGTCCGAGTGATGAATGAGACTCGACAGCTGGTGTTTTGTTTAAAAACGTCTTTAATGTCTGGAGAGAGAATAAGAAGTGGATAGGCCTCCCCACCAGGGCAGTGAGGTGGGGAGGGTGGGGGACTGACCCTTTTCTCTGCCCCTCGGGGAAGGCTTCCAGGGCACCTGCCAGAGACTTGGCCGTGTCCAGATCTCTCGCTCCAGCCTTGTTCCCTCTCCCTCCACACACTAAGCACCCACTGTCCACAGGGCAGCCACTGCTAGACAGTGTGCAACTTTGTGTAAAGTAGCAAATGACACCCCTGTGGGTGGAAGGCCCTCTACAGGACCATGAATACATCTTTGTTTAAAGAATAAACTATCTTTTCCTCTGGGCATATGCACCCATTGCTTGGTGAGTAGCATGTAGACTGGATTTCAGGCCATTCCTAACCTTTCAGACGACAGCCTTGTGCAGTACATAAGTTGCACACTTATCTGTGGTGCCCCAGTTACACGAGCAGGGCTCTGTACTAGGCACTGAGGACTCCGAGAAGAGTAAGCTCTGTGTCTTGTTGACCAAGAACTCTCATTTTGAAGACACGCCCCTCCCTGACTCTACCACGCGCTGCATAACTCACACACCTCCACCTCCACCTCTGACGCAGAGCTGAGTGAAGCGGAGCTCACTGTCGTGGTCCCTCAGCATGAAATGGAAGTCCTCCCAAGTCAGCTCCTCCTTGTCCTGGAAGCCTGACTCCCGGAACATGGACTCCACCACCTCGGCCAGCTGGACCTTGGTCAGGCAGTCCTTGTAGATGTCGAGGAAGGACCTAAAGGAAGATAACAGACCAAGCAGCCTGTCATCCAGCGCGCTCAGGCTCGGGCAGCTGTAGGGTGACACAAGTCTCAGATTATCTCATGTGGTTACCAATGACCAGAAAGTGGCACCGAGAAGGTGCTCATCTGGTGTAGAGCTGACACTGAGCTGGGCGGGTTGGTCACAAGCTCAGGAGGTAGAAGGGAACGGAAAGTGACCCTGACCAATTAGAGAAAACGGCCCTTGAACACGGGAGACTACAGCTGAGATGACTGTTCACTTAGTGCAGGGACGCAGCCGAGGTGTGCGTGGCCCTCTCTTGGGACAGGCTCTGCCCACTCACTTCTGTTGATGCCTCCCACACCGTCCCTGCGCTCCCGCTTCCACATTCAAGTTGGGGCATGAGACAGTGGTATTAGGGAGGGTGTGACTGCACTGGCCACTGCTTCCTTGTGCCAACGTCCTGGGGTACAGTCTCCATGCCCAAACTGACAGTGTCTCAGTAACAGCTGAAGTGTCCAGACTTTCCTTGGGTTGTATTTTGGGATAAAAACAAACAGGCCATGCAAGTTTGTACAAGTCTAGCAGAGTCCTAGAGTCCTGGTATGGTGCTGTACGATAAGCACTGGACTGCTAACCAAAATATTGCCAGTTCAAACTCACCAGCCACTCCTTGGTAACCCTATATAGGGTTGCTATGGGTCAGAACCAACTCGATGGCATTTAACAACATCAACAGTGGCAGCAGAGTCCTGGTGTGGCACTGTAGGATAAACACTAGACTGATAGCCTCAAGATTGGTGGTGCAAACCCATCAGTTGCTCCTTAGAAAGCCTATACAGGGTTGCTACATGAGTTGGAACCATCTCAACGGCACTTAAAAACAGCAAAAAAAAAGATCCAGTCCACATGGCTTGGCAAACTCTACCATCACATATAAAAAAATCATCCCACTGAGACTAAGCAAGACCCACACTGAGTTACAGGACAAGAAGGTAGGTACTCAGCCCTTGATGGCAAGGACCCTCTCTTGGATCCTCTAGCACCCTTCCCAGGGCTGGGCCTGCCATGATGCATCCAGTGGGGTATATGTCCTAGTCCTTTAGAAGCTCATGGCCTGAGTGGGTATCTGGACTCTAAGAGGGATGTGGCAATTAAGCAATGGAAAGTCTTAAAGACATGGTAAAGGGATCTGGGCTGTCTCTTTCACTATTAATTTGCTCATTCATTTCATTTTATCTTATTCAGCAAAGATGTACTGAATGCCTCCTACGTCCCAAGCACAGTGCAGACAGGGTGGAGTCAGCAGAGAACAAAGAGAGACATGAGTCCTGCGCTTGTGGATTGCTGTGTGGCTGAGCATTGTCTTCAGGAATATAAAATCTGATATTAAAGCTGACCTTTTTCAACATACTAGAAACATAAATGACTTGAGAAGCAGGAAGAGAGAAGGGTTAGAATGTAGAGGAACTTCCATGTTTCTCCTCCTGACTGTTTAGTATTAATATTAATGTTAATATTAGTATTAGAAGAATGACTCAGGTGATCCAGTCATCCAATCAGTCATTCATCTATCCAGCCAACCTTTTATTATGCAAAGTAAAATGTGTGCAAAACACAGTGTTAGCCATGCTGGGTATTGTAAAAGAATTTACAAATATCCAAAAAGGGTTAGTGGACTTTGTTGTGGGCTGTGTTGCTGTTTTTAACTGGAGAGGTTTTCTGGATGGTTTTAACAGTACAGATAAAAACCTTCCTGGAGGGAAGGTAAACTTTTGAAATTGGGTGCTCTACCAGTCGAAGATGAAGCATTGACCCCTACAGAACCCTGTAGTCTCTCACTACAGATGACCACATAGCCTCCTGGCCGGCCCTCCTCTGACCTGTCCTGTTTAAAACAATAGGAAGTCTCCAGTATGATCCACCCCATACCGCATCATGGTGAAAAACTCATCCTTGGAGAGGAAGCCATTCTCATCAAGGTCATACATGGTGAACATCAGGCGGGACTTATCCTCTGGGGTGCCTGAAAAGAGAAAGGAGGATGCAGGCAGCTCCCTGCTGAAAGACATCTGGTTCCTTGAATGGCCTACCATCCCCTAGCCCTCACCTTTCATGAAGACCACCAGGATGTCCAGGAACTCCCGGAAGGACAGGTAACCATTGCCATCCTTGTCGGCCAGAGAGAACATGGATTCCACAAACTTGTCCTGGGGCTTGAGGCCCAGAGACTCGGCAAACTCAGCCCTGCTCAGCTCACATGTTAGGGCCTCCCGGACCTTCTGTGAGGAGTCCGGGGATACGGTCCCTGCATCTGCCTGGTCAATGTCCAGCACCTACACTCAAGCAGTGGCAGAGAGAAGGGAAGAAGGAGGTGAGATTTGGGTTGGAGGCAGTCCAGTCTCACATCTCCCCAAAGTCCAAATCAGAAATGTTGAGCCCTGGTGGCCACTCTTGATCCTTACACAGACTTCTGGCTCAGGTTTCTACTCTCCTGAAAAAGGGGTGAATCAAATCTCTAATGGCCAGCCATTTCCCCACCTAGACTCACACTAAGGATCTTTATATAGTAAAGATGCTGCTTTTTATAGTGAGGGTCTGGGGTGGCAAGGGGGGCAAAGTTTGGGAATGCAAGTGAGAGAGAAGAAAACTCAGTAGGCATAGGAGGAACCAGCAGGAAGAGGCTAAAGCTATGCTCGCTTGCCAATTCAAATGAGACTGCCATGTGACTAGGAGTTAGTCTCTGCCTATTGTGCAGATTTTAAAACTTATATACTTGCAACTAACATTTGTTAAATGCCTGCAATGTAGCATGAACTTGAGCTAATCACTGTACATTGTTGTTATTGTTAAGTACCATCGAGTTGGTTCCAACTCATAGTGACCCTGTATAAGGCTTCCAAGGAGGGACTGGTGGTTTTGAATTGCTAACCTTGTGGTTAGCAGTCCAGTACTTAACCTACAGTGCCACACTAGAACTCCCGGCACTGTGCATAGATCAGTGTTTTCAAACTGGAGCCAGCATCAGAATCACCTGGAATGCTTGTTAAAACACAGATCATTCGCCCCCAACTCGAGTTTTCAATTCAGTAAGTCTGGAGAAGGGCTCAGGAAATTGCATTTCCAACAAGTTCTCAGTTGATACTTTGAGAACCGCTGATGTACAATGTCTCACTGAATCCTCCATACCCTACAGGATGGATACCATCTTAATCACTGTTTTATAGACAAGGAAACTGAGGTACAAAGCAGAGATAATGTAACCTGCCTAGGTTGCATGCTACTGAGTGGCTCAGATTCAGTGGAGGCTGTCTCCAGCCCATATGATAAAACTTTGCTTCACCCTGAATGGTATCCTGTCCAGCCCAGGTTCCCTCTCACCCTGGGCTGGACCACATGCTTAAGAGGTACAGGTCATGGCACCTGAGCAAAAAGATGCCTGAAGAACATCTCAAGGATCTGCTCCCGCTGCTGCTTGGTCACAGCCTTCCGGAACAACTCCTTCTCACCCATCTCTGAGACATGAAGGCCAAGGTCCCAGTGTACACAGAAGTCCTGCAGATACTGCACAAAGGTGCTCCGCTCCTCCTCGTTGTTAAACAGCAACACCTGCGTAAGAGGAAGCCTGCACTAATGCTGGGGGAAAGAACTTCAAGGTCACTCTCTCCTCAAAGGACTTTGGGTTGAGGAAAGGAGAGAAAAGCTGCTTCTCATCTGTTCAGGATGGGGCCAGGTGAGTGGTCTAAGGTGAAAGACAGGAGGGTCCAGTCGACTCTGCTGGTGCAAAAAGGAGTCCCTCTCCCCAGCATTAGCCTTCACAGGGGGCTAAATAGCTAAGGATTTGGGGGGCAGTGGTAGGAGTGAGAGTGAGATGGCGGAGCTGTGTAAGGGCATCCTAGGCAGGGGAGGCAAGCCAGACTGTACCAGGTCATACTCCTTGGGGATCTTGAGCAGCAGGGCCTGGCTCCCATGGTTGCTGGACAGGATGAGGTTGACCTGCTGCGGGGGCTGCAGCTGAATGGTACGGAGCACAGAGAGCCTGTGGTCCAGGACCTGTAGACGCCTCTCTGGGAGCAGCTGGATGGTGATGGGATAGCTCTTCTCCCTGGGCCCTGGCCACTCCATCGCTGGGGGAAGGGACAATTGACAGAGTGAGCCTAAAAAGTCCACAGTCCCTGCCCTCTAGCCAACTCTACTCTATAAATCCAGGCAGGCACCCCAAAGCCTGGCTTTCTCTCCGAGTCCTCAACCTGGCTCTTTCTGCCATGGACTCCCCAATTTGTTCCTTTCCTCGCCTCCCTCAGCCCCATCTCACCTGACACACCGTCTTCTGCCGACTCCTTCTTTATACTCTCATTGCCTTTCTTTTGTAGCTTCTTGCGTTCTTGGCCCCGGAAATGGGCCACCACCCAAGAGATGAGCAGACTCACTGATGGGGATCAGAAGGAGTCAGTGGGGAGACGGCCCCTCAATTGCCGCTTCATTGAGCCTTTGGCTGTTGCCCCATCTTTCTTAAGACCCAAGACTGTCCTCAAACTGTATCAAGTTACCAATGACCTAGTCCTACAGGACAATGGGTAATGGTGGGCTGAGACAATCTGTGGGGAGCGAGGAGGCCAGGAGGAGAAAGAAGGGGTGGGTGGTGGTGGTGGTGAAGGGCTCACCAAGGGGAAGGAAGCAGAGAGCCACAATGGTGATGCCAAAACCAGGACCACTGCCCTCAAAGTAATCCAACTCAGTCATGGGAACACAGTGGGGCAAATCCTTGTCTGTGAGCTGCTTCGGCTGAGGGCAGGGTGCACCTGAGGGAGAAGGCCCAGAAGAAGTCAAAATTCAAGGATCCCACTCCTTGGCCAAGTAACCTTTCTCTCTGTTTAGTAAATGACCAAGATGCTCTCTCTCCCAACCATTACTCAGGTCTACCTCCCTGGAACTTGCTCTCTTCCAAAAGTCCCCTTCCACTAACACAACTTGAAGAATGTTAAACAATGCCACTGAATTGTACATGTTGAATTTCTTAAAGTGGTTTATCATTTGCTGTATTTATTTTCACACACAAAAAATTAAAAACATTTTTAAATGGCTCTTTCTATAAACTACCTCTTAGCATGCACCCCAACTTGACCACAGGGTGTAAACCACAGGCTACGCCAGGTGCTACCGTGGGAGTCAGTTTAATGTAGCCTTTTCAGTCTTATAGGGACAGGACTGACTGGAGCCTGGCACCCTGGACAGAACAGAGTGACCCCCTCCTTCCTCTGGCCACGTATGTCTTCCCTGGACACTCACCCTCGTGCCAGACGAAGACATTAGGCTGCAGGGCATTGGAATCCACACCGGTCACAGCTATTAGCACGTCCCGCAAGGTGGTGTTTCTGATCTCTGCAATCTCCTCCTTGGAGAACAACCTAAATTGAGAAAAGACAAGAAGTTGTTGGCATCAGGAAGGAGATACAGGCCTCTAGCAACTCTGGGCCCAAGGATCCAGATAAAGAAAGAAACCCAGAGGAATTTGGAGAGGAGGTATTGGGGTAAGCTGGGTATCAGGAACCCATGGGGGCTGTCTAGGGTCAGACTCATGGTCTAGAACTCAGGCTGAGGTGGAATCTGAGGTGCTCTTACCCATTCCTTGTGTTCTCAAACCAGTAGCGGTCACCATCCCGAAGTCGCACAAACTGGTCTAGGACAATGGCAGTGAAGAGAGGTCCTGGGTCCCCATGGCTTTCCAGGAGCCCCCCTGGAAGCATCTCCAGCCGGGACAAGTCCTGGTTGTACAGGGCAGCTGTGGCCTCCAGCACCTGGGGCACCAGGGGAGATGAGGAATGTGTGTGCATTGGGGAGGGCAACCACTGTTGCCCTACCCCTCAGATATAGGACCCCAGCAGGACCTCTGCCACTCAGGCCTTTCCCTAGGCAGTCCCCTTAGGAGAAAGGCAGGGCTGCTGGGACGCAAGTGCCCAAGGACCACACCCTGTGTCCGTTGCTATCTAGACTGCCTAATCCTTATGATTAGTAGCTTCAGGCTACCCTACCCATGGGAAGGGATATTACAAGATTAAGACAAGAGCACCCAACCCAGGAGCCACCCTGCAGGCATGATACAATGTACTGGTTAGGAATATATTCTGCAGTCAGATGACCAGAATTTAAATCCTGCCTCTAGAAATGACCAATTAATTATTTTGTTCCTTAAACAAGGATACCGATAGCAGCGAAACCTGGGAGAGCCAGAACCCAAAAGGACTGCCTTGTCTTCCATGTCTCGTATGTTTTCTGCCTTTGACAGGGGGCAGCTTTACCACTTCTCTAGCACTCATGTGAGCTGGAAATATTTGAGTTTCCTTCTCTGACAGGTTTCTGCCTTACATAGGTCCTGGATTATACAGGTTTTATAGTATCTACTTCATAACATTCTTATGTCGATTAAAAGGAGTCCTAGGGAATCGGGCTACGAACTGCAAGGTCAGCAATTGGAAACTACCAGCTGTTTTGCAGGAGAAAGATGAGGTGTTCTGCTCCCATAAAGATTTACAGCCTCAGAAACCCTGTACAGGATTGCTAGGAGTCAGAACCAACTCCACGGCACATAGCCATACAATACCATAGTGGCACAGTGGAGTCCTGGTGTGGTGCTGTGGGCTAATGAGCTGGACTGCAGAGTCAGTTTGAGCCACAAGGTCAGTGGTTCAAGCTCACCAGCTGCTCCTTGGAAACCCTATACAGGGTTGCTATGGGTCAGAATCGACTTGACGGCACTTAACAACAAAGTGGCAGAGTGGTTAAGAATTAACTGAAGGGTAAATGGACTGATCCAAGTGAGGAAGACGAATCAATCTGCTTCTGAAGAGATTACAGCCTTGGAAACCTTATGGGATAGTTCTCTGTCCTAAAGGGTCTCTATGAGTTGGAATTCACATGATGGGACACAACGAGTCAACATACAAAAAGAACTTGCGCCAATCTCCATTACAGAAAAGCTTTAGCTGCTATCACCATGCTAGTCTCTGGTATGGTGTTGTAGGATAAAGCACTGAACTGATCATTGAAGGTTAGCTGGTCAAACCCGCCAGCTACTTCTCAGATGGGCCACACAGGGTTGCTATGAGTCAGAACTGACTCCATGACACTTAACAACAACAGTCATGTTACTCCATGACTGTTCCTGACCTGGGACTCCACGTTGGGGTTGAGGTCACTCCAGTTCTTCGGAGTCTTCAGGCCCAAAGCCAGCAGGGCCTGGTTATAGCTGGGCAGCCCCATATCTCGGCCACGCTGGATGCTGCTGGCCACGTAGTCTGTGCGGGAGAATTTGCCAGGGCCAGGCCAGTAATCTAAGGAAAAGAGAGGACAAGGCTATGGGATCAAACTCCCAATCCTTCCTTGAATTGGACTGTTGACACTGTCTCTATCCCCCAGTGCCCAGGTTGACCTTGGCAATAGCCTTGGGGTGGAGCCAATGTCACCACATGTCATCAGGGGTGATTTTCCAGGCAAAAATGTTCCTCTAAGACTCAAGACTATTCTAGTCACCAAGTAGTAAGTTCCCTGTCCTATACTTTCCTGGAGGAGCTCTGGTAGTGTAGTGATTACGAATCCAGCTGTGAACCGCAAGGTCAGCAGTTTGAAACTACCAGCTGTTCTGCGGGAGAAAGATGAGGCTTTCTGCTCCCGTAAAGATTTGCAGCCTCGGAAACCCTGTACAGGGTCACTATGAGTCAGAACCGACTCCGTGGCACATAGCCACCACCATACTTTCCTGGTGGCCCAAGAGTTAAGTGCTCTGCTGCTAACTGAAATGTCATTGGTTTGAACCAACCAGCGCAGTCAGCAGAAGAAAAGACTAGGTGATCTGCTTACATAAAGATTACAGCCTAGGAAACCCTATAGGCAGTTCTACTCTGGTAGCATAGTGGTTATGAATCGGGCTGCTAACCTCAAGGTCGGCAGATTGAAAATATTAGCGGCTCCGTAGGAGAAAGATAAGGCTTCTGCTCCCATGAAGATTTACAGCCTCAGAAACCCTGTACAGGGTCGCTATGAGTCAGAACTGATTCCACGGCACACCACCACCACCACTCTGTCCTAAAGGGTTGCTATGAGTTGGAATCAACTCCTTGGCACACAACAATAATATACGTCCCTGGTGTGGAGATAAGAAAAGCTCCAACCACTCCTGGAAACGCTCCCTATACAGAGAGTCAGAACTGATTCAACAACATACAACAACAACAACAATCCCAAATAGAGCTGGATGAAAATCTTTAGAGACCTAAGTACCAAAGAGATTATGGTATTACACTTCACACACACCGCCCCCAACACACACACTTACTCAGACACAGATAGTTTACACTAAAAGCAACGCTAAACTGTAAATTTAGAGAAAAAAGTTAAAAACTAATTTTTCTTCTAATGACTATTTGATTTTTCTATGTGTTGCTGTATTACAGGTGCTCTAGGTCTACCTGGGCATAAACAGATAAACAGAAAAGGTTCCTTGACTTCAAGCCCCCATCCCTTGGCTCTGTGCTCACCCCTGAGATCTTCAACCACTATCCTGTCCTCCAGCTCCGAAATCTGGGAAGCCATTCCCAGCAGCACGTGGTTCACCGCATGGACACTGTTCACATTGGGGTTCTGGAAGCAAATACCACACTCAAGGTAAGTTCAAGAACCCCTCCAGAAAGTTCAGCCCCTCTGTCAGCTCAGAGCTCAGGCTCTCACCCTGAGCTACGGTGACACCTTAGGACAAAGGCCCCGGTGTCCGTCCTAGTCTCTTTTGAACCATGGTTCCCAGATAATCTGCTCACTCTCTACCTTTCATCTCCCACCAACCTGGAGCAGCAATACCCAAAAACAAGAATTGCTTTTCCCAGCCTGTGTAAAGAGACTGCCCTTGATACATCCTCCCCTGACCCCGACCCCAGGCTGACCTCTCGAATCCAGTAGCTGTTGCAGACCCTGAGAGCTGGGAAACTGACAAAATCCTTGTTGGAGACTTTCTGGAAGTGACAGCTGGCATTTCTAAAATGGGGGAATTAAGGATGTGGTGAGGGAATTCAGGGAAGAATGAGGTTGGATTGAGTGAGGGACTCTTGAGGAATGGTCAAGATTGAGGGATGGTCCATAATTTTTTTCCCACAAAGCAGCATTTATTGAAGGAAGAGGGAGCTCTTTGTCCACACTAGTTGGGGCAGGAAGAAGGGACCAGGGCGACCCAGCAACTAGACAAATCCTCTTCTCAGCAACTGAAGTTCAGTCATTAGGAAAGTTGTGGAGATTTCCCTATTAAAATCCAACCAATCTTCCATCCAGGGCCCCAAATTCTGCTTTCCTAGCCCCATCAAGGAGTCCTGGTGTGGAGCTGTGGGCTAAGGTGCTGGACTACAAAGTCGGTTTGAACCTCAAGTTTGGCAGTTCAAGCTCACCAGCTGCTCCTTGGAAATCCTATATAGGGTTGCTATGGATGGGAACCAACTCGACAGTACTTAACAACAACAACAACAACATCCCCATCAAGGAGTCCTGGTGTTTGCTCAGTAGGATAAGCGCTGGCCCACAAGGTTGGTTTGAACCGAAAGGTTGGTGGTTCAAACTCACCAGCTGCTCCTTGTAAACTCTATACAGGGTTGATATGAGTCAGAACTGAATCAGGGCACACAATAACAACATCCCCATCAAACTGTGGAGGTGTTTGTCTTAGTCCCCTAAGGCAGTTCGTTCCTCCTCTCTGCCACTGTGCTGTGTGTCTCATCACCAGCCCCTTTCTTACCGCATATAGACACCTGGGGGTACCATGGTGGAGAAAAACTGCTCAGAGGCTGCCAGGAACTCCGGGGAGATGCTGGGGTCCTGGAAAGGGTTGTACCCTGAGGAGTGGGGGTAACAAAAGACAGTCTCCTTATCCCACATCCTCCCTTCACACCCAGACTGTCTTCTTCCCTTCTTATTGCATCTTGACCCTTCCCCACCACTCTCAGTCCAAGAGTTCTCCCAATTCCCTCACCTTTATATTCTGGGGGTGTTTTCTGTAGAAAGCTGGGAAGCCACTCATAAAGAGCAATGTTCTGAGGAGCAGAGAGAGAGGAGAAGGAAACTTAGGCAAAAGAAGGCTCAGGGGAGGCTTTAAAGTGGCTGACAGAAAAGCTTAGGTGGGGAGGAATCCCAGGGGCAGGAATGGAAAAGGCCACTCAAATAGGAGCAATTCCCAAAGGGTCTCTGGGCCATTTGAAAAGGAATGATGGGATTTGCTGGAGGAGTTAAAAATCACAAGCAACATCTCCTCTATAAAGTGTTTTGCCTCCTTATAAAATTTCAGGGACTTTCCCTAGAAGTTTGCTCTTTAGGAAGGGGTGTCTTCTTCCAATGGGATGTTCAAAGATGATGAACACCCTTGTCTAAGGATGGGGACTCTGCGGGGTTAGGAGTGACCAGTGGACAGAGAATGGGAGAGGCCAGGAAGTCATGGGTATAGAAAGTCGAGGATAGGGCTGTGAGGCCGACCTGGTAGGTGGCGATGACTCTCTTGCGCGCGTGCTGAAACAGCTCCTCGTCCCCCCAGTGCGGGTGCTCGCTGGCCAGCTTCTGTGCGCACAGGTTGTGGTAGCGGAACCACAGTAGTCCCAGCGCCTGCAGGAAGGGATCGCGATTCCCCCGCTCCGCACCAAAGGCTGCATCAATGTGGGGAACAGGGAGGAGATGGGCGATGGCCTGACCAAGGGGCTCCCAACCTCACAGACCCCAACTCGCTGACCCCGATCCGCCCTCCCACGAGCCCCCGAGCCCCGCCCTGCCCCGCCCCGCCCCGCCCGCTCTATCCCCTTGACCTCACCGTACAGCCCCTGGGACCCACGCTGCCCGGTGGCGGGGTCCGGTGCGATCCACATGAGCAGCGGGTTCTGTGCGTCCCGGGGGAAGGCAGGATCGGGTCCCGATGCCAGTTGCCCCCCGGAGAAGTTCCGCAGCGCGTCGCTCCATGAGTGTGAGGAGCCATAGATGGCGCTGCCGTCCAGCCAGCCGGTCACCTCGTTGGTCTGCGGGAAGCGAGAAGGTGAGGGTGGGCATCGGAACGGGGAGGGAGGGTCAGGCGTTGTCGCAGGTGAGGGGCCGCCTCTCCCCAACCGACCTGGGCCCCACCTGCCTCCCGTGTAGCCCTCACCCCGCTTCCTGCCTAGCCTCACCAGGTCTCGGGGGTTGCTGGGACTCTGTCCGGTCTCGGGATCCCAATGGCTCCTCTGGAAGGGCAGCACCACGTCCCCGCGGTGGTCGGGATCGAACACTGGATCTCCAGGCGGAATGCGGATGTTGAGGAATTCGGCGGGGCAACCGGGCCGCTCCACACTCACCAGGTCCGAGAGCACGTGGTAGCCTGTGGGCCAGTGAAGTGCAAAGTGGTGAGTGAGCAAATGGTATACCCAGCGCTCCCCACTTCCTGGGCGGCCTCCCAGGGTTCTCAGGAGCCAAAAGACCGAATTTGCTTCACATGCAGGTTTCCCCTATCTAGCTTTTCAACGTACACTGCTTTGTTGTTGAGTCGATTCCAACTCATAGCAACCTATGTGATATAGTCCATAGGGTTTCCAGAGCTGTCATTTATCCCCGAAGCAGACTGCCACACCTTTCTTGGTCAAAGCGCCTAAAGGTTTCCAACCTACCTTTTGGTTAGCAGCCTAGCAGTTAACCAGTTTGTCCAGTGCCCTCACTAGGGGATGGGGGTGGGGGTAGTAGGGTGGTGGTGATGGTGGGAGACATTGTCAGAGAGGATGACGCCAAAATGACTGTTAATCAAAATTTTTGTGCAGTGTTTCAGCAAAAATGTATTGTTCTTTATAAAAAAAATTCCTGCAGTTAGTAACAACAAAAACATTTTCATAAGTCCAATTTACATGTATCCATATATTTGCGTGTACAGGGCTGAAACTCTATGCTAATTTATTTTTTAAACCTTCTAATGAAGTCCTGGTGTGGCCCTGTAGGATGACCACCAGTTGCTCCTCAGAAACCATATCCGGGTCAGGTCAGAACTGAATTAACAACAACAGATCACCCTAGTCTGAGTTGTCATTATTACCTAATTACAATGACTCTCAGAAACACATCTCCCCATGATATAAACACTGTTATTTGGTGTTTTTACTGTTGATTTTGCCAATTTTTATGGTGTTGTAGCTATAACATTGTGGTAATTAGTATTGTGAACCTACATAAGGAAGCTTTTTGAGAATGAAGTAGCAATATTAAAGAAAAGAATGAAAGGGGCAAAGGACTTCTGTTCAGCAACCAAGAATGCAATTAATAGTGTTATAATTCAATGCAGAAAGATATTACAAAACAATTGTGTCATTAGCATTCATATAATCTAAGAGATATTACATTTAAGCAATTTATATCCATGGATCACATATTATTCTGTGATTAAAATTGATAATAAACATTACTAAGGATTATCCGGAGGTAGATCCATGGGGGAGGGGTGACACCAATCCTAGTAACTCCATTGAATGCGCCATCGCCATCAGGGCCCCTTAATTCAGGCGTAGTGAGCCTCAGGGTTCTAATCTCCAAAATAAGGATGTAGTATCCTTCCCACCACCGGAGCTTTGGACCGCAAGGTCAGCAGTTCGAAACTACCAGCTGCTCAGCGGGAGAAAGATGAGGCGTTCTGCTCCCATAAAGATTAATAGCCTCGGAAACCCTGTGCAGGGTCGCTATGAGTCGGAACCGACTCCACGGCACACAGCAACAACAACCCTTTCCACCAGAGTCCTGGTGTGGCGCTGTGGGCTAATGGTCAGACTGCAAAGTCGTTTGAACTGAAAGTTTGGTGGTTCAAGATCACCAGCTGCTCCTTGGAAACCTCACTATGGGTCAAAATTGACCCGACTCTTAACAACTACAACCCTTCCCACCACCTCACAACGTTGTTGAGAGAATAATAATGATATCATTAATGTAAGGAATCCGCCAAACCCATCTAGAATTTCCTAGAAGATACTGCCTCTCTTCTTTTCTACGGGGAGAAAAGATTATGATCCTATGGGGAAGAGAGTAGTGGCGTGTACTCGGATCTTAAGAAATATGATAGGCGTCCCTTGGGCTTAGGGATGAAGGATAATAAGAAAAATGGAAGACCAAATAAATATCCCTGCTTCAACAGTCTTAGATCCGTCCGATTTCATGGAAAGAAGACAGCCTCAACGAGCTACTTAGTGGGATGGGGTAGGGTGGGTGGGGGAGGAGAGGAGAAGGCTATGAATCTCCGATCAGTCTCGGAGCCCTTTTCGCTGCACGCTGAGCTGAAGACCCAAACGATCCCAATGATTTCCGGTGGAAGGGCCCTTTGCTCTCACCAAAGAAGACCCCCAGCACAGTGCGGTTGCGGCGAGATGCTTGTCCGGCAGCTCCCTGCATGGCGGCGTTGCTGAGCCGGCGCGGATTGGGCAGCAGAGGCTCCCCGAGAGCTTGATACACGCCGTCGGCGTAATTGGCTGAGACCAGGCGCTGCAGTCGGAAGCCTACCCGAGGCAGGGGGCGGATATGTCAGAACACTCCGTCCAGCCGTAACCTTTAAATTTTACTGTAGTCCCTTCTCTAGTCCTGCCCAGACCTCTTCTGTTCTGAATTTCTGAGTCCAGGACCGTAGGAAAATGCACAGCGCGTGTAGCCCGGCGGCGGGCGACGTGCTAGCCCGGTCTTACGCGCCCGCGTCTCCGCGAGCCGTCTGCTCTCGCCCGCGGGAGCCCCAAAACGCACCTGCAGCGCCTCGCTGGTGGTGCCTCAGGTTGTTGAACCAGCCGTCATAGCGCTGCACTTCCCAGGGCAGCGAAAGTGAGTCCTGGCCGCCTGTGGGTTCAGAGATCAGCTCCGTCAGCGCTAGCTTCCTAGAGACCCATCAGAGACCCGATGGCCTGGCGCTTCCCCAGCTGGCAGAGTGTCCCCAACCCAGCCGCACAGCGATTTGCGTCCACATTCTAGCCTCCGGGAGGACTTGCCTACAACCTCTCCCCTTCTCCATTCCCAGACAATCTCAGCCAGGGGAGCCTGGTACTTACTTACCCACTGAATCCAAAGGTCCAGTCAGCAGAGCTCCCAGAAGAACCAGAGCCTCTGGCCTTGCACGGAGCATGCTGACCCTTCGGCCACAGAGCTGGCGTCACCGCCAGCTCCGATCCGTACAACCTGCAGTCGGAGAGGAGGTGCAAACCATTTTCATTTCTCAAATGAAACTTTCAGAAGCATCACGGAGGACGCCCACCTGGCCGCACGCTTTCCAAGACACCTAACAGCCCTGGAGGCACTGATAATGTTCCCCACACCTCCACCCCGTCAAGGAGCTATCTATCCACTGTCTGGGGAATTCACCCGGCACAGGCCTCTAGGGTATATCCGTCCTAGGCAGTTCCAACTCAACAGCTCTGAACCGAAATCAACTCCACGACACTTAGTAACAGGCACCAACCACTTCTGAAGGAGGCAGGAAAAGCAAAGAGGCTAATGAGATGGGCGTCGAGCCAAGACCCACAGAACCTCCTCCTGCAGCGAACGCCTGTGCGAGGGGTGGTAAGCGGAGGGGTGGAGAACCCTGTAACACCGCTGCATGGGTGGAGGGCGAGGACCTAGAAGGTCAGGTACCAAGCCCTGGCACAGGGTCTTGGTCAGGTCCAGATGTATTTCTGATTGGAAGCTTCATTTCTCTTTGGCTCTGCTCCCGGCCCTCCACCCCAGCGCTCCAACCCCTCAGCTTCCACCGCCGCACTCTTACCTTCCTCTTTGGGTCCTCAGTCTCGATGGCGGCGCGTGGGTGTCCTCTCAGGCTAGACCAGCTCCAGGTGTGGGCACCTGGACACTAGGTTCACCTTCCTGCTGCGGGGGCGGGGCTTCCCCTCATTTACATAGCGATCGCCCTCTTCATTTGCATGACCCCTTCCCGCCCGAACTCCGTTGCCAAGTCGTGACACCCACGCGACACACCACCCACGCTGCTATAAAAAGGCCCCAAGCGATGGACAAATGCAACGCGAGCCTAAGGTGTCCCGAAAATAACTGGCCACAGTCAGTGAGAAATAAATCCGCTCGCCCGCTAAATCAGAGCGCAAGAGGCAGTCTGCGGGGTCGGACTTGGCCAGCCTACACCAGGAGGGGGAAAGGAAGTGGAATTGCCGAGTGGAAAAGTTCGAGTGCTCCTTATTCCTTGCAGATTTAGCTCTCCCGGGTCTCAGCATGACACTGTGGAACGGCGAGCTACCCTTCTATCCCCAGCCCCGGCATGCTGCTGGCTTCTGCGTTCCTCTTCTCATTGTCATTTTGGTGTTCCTGGCATTGGCAGCCAGCTTCCTGTTCATCTTACCGGGGATCCGCGGTCACTCGGTAAGGGGCGCTAGCTAGTCCGGGTCTGGAGGTAGGGGCGTCATGGAAGTTTGTCTCTCAGAGATCCAGGTCAGGTAAGACGGTGGCAAGGGCTTCCATCCATGGTCAAAGAGGTATAAGTGGAGCACACACAGAATTCTGGAGCACCAAATTCCTGTTCCCAAGCACAAGGAGAGCTCTTTGTCCAAGACATCCCGGAGACTGACGCAGCAGCTGGGAGGTCAAGTAGCATTCAGAAGGCTGTGCCTAGAGTTGGTGGCTGTTTGTTTCTAGGCTTCGCTGGGCCTTCTGCCTCTTCTTACACCACAGGTCCATACCCATCCGGTCTTCTGCTGACGACCTTTATTTAGACCCAGAGGCACCAAAATAGAGGGTCTGTAGTTCCGGTTGCTTGGTTTCCACTGTGCGCTGGGTGACACTCACTTGTAGAGTGTCCCTATGCTGACCTTAACAGGTCTGGGAGTTGAGCAGACTATGTAGGTGCATTTCTTTAGGCGCCCCCTCCCCCCTCTATGGAGATTGCGTCCCTCTATGGAGATTGCGTTCTTTCCAATCTGGGAGGACTCAGCATCCTTGCCTCTTGATCTGTTTCTACAAGTACCTGAGAGGCTGTGTTCTCATCTCCTCCCCTCCTTGATGACCAAGCCCTGGGGCCTGCCTCTCAGGGGAGGTGATCCTGCCTGCCTAACACTTCTCACGGACTCACTGAGCCCCTCCAAGCAGTGACCCGAGGAGGAGAAGACTGGACCACGGCCAGACAACTTGGAGAGGGAAAAGGGCGAGAGAGCACAAGAAATAAGTGCCTGGGCTGCTACCTAGACCAGGAAATGGGACTGGGGAGGCAGAAGCACAGGACTAGGAAATGTCAGGGAAAGCAAGAGTGAAGCCAGCCTCAAAATACTAGGACTGGAGACAGTGTGTGGGGCAAGAGGTGCAGGCACATAAGTTCTCAGAGTGAAGTCTGCTGGGGTCATGGGAGGTCATGTGGGTTATGGTTGGTCAGTATCTAGGCCTGATTTTGATTTCTGTTCCTGCAGCGCTGGTTCTGGCTGGTGAGAATTCTTCTAAGTCTGTTCATAGGTGCTGAAATTGTAGGTGAGTGTGTAGTTTTGTAGGGCGTGAGGGTGGGGAGAGAATTTGGGGTGAGGTGAGAAATGGGCAGAGAGGTCTTCTGGGGGAGTGGGGAGCTAGTAGCTTCTGATCACTCTCCCTCTTCTGGTTCTTTCTGGTGCCCACTCATCTGTCCTTACTAGGCACACCCACAAGACCCTTAGACCATCCCATCATCACTCTTCTAATGCCATCCCCCTCCCCCCCATGCCTCTCCTCACAGCTGTGCACTTCAGCGCGGAATGGTTCGTGGGTAGCGTCAGCACCAACACATCCTACAAGGCCTTCAGTGCGGCTCGAGTCAGCGCCCAAGTCGGTCTGCATGTGGGCCTGGAGGGCATTAATATCACACTCACAGGTGAGGGGACTGGGGCGAAGTGAAACTCCTGGGGCTTGCCGACCGACCGGAGTTTGGGAAATGTGGACCTTCTTGATCTCGCAGACTCAGATAGCTTTTGGCTCTCTTGGATTTACGTTTTCCCCACCTACCACCAATCAATCCAACTCTCTCACCTTGGGTGCCCCATCCCAATTTTCCTATCCGAATCCCGTCGCTCTCCGCAGGGACCCCAGTGCAGCAGCTCAATGAGACCATTGACTACAACGAGAAGTTCAGCTGGCGTTTGGGTGAGAATTACGCCGAGGAGTACACGGAGGCTCTGGAGAAGGGGCTGCCGGACCCAGTGCTCTACCTGGCGGAGAAGTTCACTCCCAGAAGCCCTTGCGGGCTCTATCATCACTATCGACTGGCGGGATACTACGCCTCGGCCACGCTGTGGTAAGGGTTGGAGGGGAGATCCTGTGTGTGCGTGCGCGCGCGCGCGTGGGGTATATGAGGAGGGTCTGTGTGATGAAGGGACGGGGGTCCGCAGAGGCTCACTCCAGTTGCAGCCAATTCGCACCGAGTGAGAATTGTACAGCGCTGGGTCTGAAGGCCACACAGACTGTTGGAATCCGGAAAGACCCAGAAAAGGCCCACAGCTCTGGGGTCCGCTTCTTTTCCGAGGAATCCCCTGGGCCTTCGCCTCTATCCAAGCCCCAGGCATTCGCGCTGGGCTATGCATGGTCAAAGCGGGAGCAAGGCTGTGGGGTCCCTGACGGTGGGAAGAATCCCCCGCGGCAAATAAAGACTTGCCTCCAACTTCTCCGTTGTAGAAGAAAAAAATCCTGGGCTTGAACACAACGGGGAGAGGCGTAGGAAAGTCCAGCTTCAGACTCAGAATGGTCGCTTCCCTCCAGGGTCCTTTGGGTGGTGTCGGGGTGCGTGCGTCCTTCCAGCTCACTATAATGCTTATTCCCTGCAGGGTGGCGTTCAGCCTCTGGCTCCTCTCCAACGTGTTGCTCTCCATGCCCGTCCCGCTCTACGGGGGACTGGCGTTGCTCACCACCGGCGCCTTTGCGCTCTTCGCTGTCTTCGCTTTCACCTCCATCTCCAGCGCACCCTTCTGCCTGTTCCACCTCGGCTCTGCCACACTGACAACTCACTATGGCGCCGCCTTTTGGGTCACTCTAGCCACGGGTGAGGACCGAGGCGGGACCTGGCCTGGGGAAGAACGGTGGGGACGGGATTTAGACTAGACCACAAGGTCGGTGGGTCAAACTCACCAGCCGCTCCTCGGAAACCCTATACAGACAGGGTCGCTGTGAGTCGGAACCGACTCAACAGCACTCACTTAACAACCAGTGCGCTTTCCAGTTTACAAAATGCCTTCACATTGAGGTACCAAAAAACCCGGTGCCATTGAGTGTTACACAAACACTGTCAGTCTGTAAGGGAGCAGATAGTAACAGCCTCATCTATTACATCATGCCCATTTTACAGGTGAGGATTGGGGAGGGGGCGTTCAGAAGGGTTCGGTATCTTTCCCCAGTTAGTATGCAAGTCTGCACATGTATCATAAAAATTCCGATTAGAGGTCTTTCTGCAGTGAGTATGTCTGCGTATGTGTTGGGAAAAGAAAAGCGAGAGTCAGCACCCATAGGTGGCAAAAGGGAGGTCGGCTTCTGGCCCGGAGCCTTGGTCGTCCCTTTACTCCAGTCACCTCGTCACAGGCATCCTGTGTCTTCTCCTTGGAGGGGTGGTGGTCATTCTTCACTACATGCGGCCCAGCGCCCTTCGCATCTTCCTGGATCAAAGCATCAAGGAACGCGAAGGCCAGACGAGATGGGAATCGCCTCTTATTCTCAGCAATCCTCTGCACCAGCAACCCGACGTTCCGGACTTAGAAATGACCACTAACTTGTGAAGAGCACGCTACCATGGACTCCTATTCCACCTCAGGCCCAGGCGGGCCAGGAGGCAGTGCCCTCTGGGCCTAGTTTGGAAGAACTCTGGGAAGGGTACAGCATTGTGGGCGCCCGCTGGAAGAGCCGGCAGCCTCGAGCTTCTTCCACACCCAAAGGGTCTCCCAAGGTGAATTGTAAATAAACTTTTTTGTTGTTGTTTTATTTTTAAAACAAACTTTCCCCCCTTAATTTATATGATTTTCCAGCTTCTTGAGGACGCACGCTCTTGGGTAGATTCGCTGAGCTGAAGACAGTCTAGTGTACTCTTTTCTGCGTTGCTATGAAACCAGAGGGAAACCGATTTTCTCGGTTAGGGGAATAGGGCAAAATCCAAGAGGCTCTGGGGTAGAGGCGCCCTCTAGTGGGGCTTTAGGGAAACTGACCGGATCTTCATGGGTTGCTGCTTTCACTCTCCTAGTTGAATGGATTGGGGAAGAGTAACGTTTTGAAGTGTATTTATTAACTCCTCACACGTCCTTTTAAGGTGGTGTCTAAGGGACTACGTAGATTTCAGAAAGACATTGTTGTGTTGTTGTTGTGTGCCGTCGAGTCGGTTCTTACCCATAGCGATCCTCTATAGGATTTCCGAGGAGCAACTGGTGAGCTTGAACCACAGACCTTGAAGTTCAATCGGGCTTTGCAGTCCAGTGCATTAACCCATACAACCATACCAGGACTCCCCGAAAGACATAAAAATCCAAATACTGGGTTGTTTTTTTTTTAAGATCCAAGGCAAGGTTTACAATCTTTTTTTTTGACATATTTGGAAACTGAAGTCCAAAGAGAAGGTGGCACTGCTGGTTAATATTAGGCCTGGGATGTTTCCCTTGGTGCTGTCTTTCATTGCACCAAGAGGCCACACAAATCAAGGAAATAAAGGAAAAACAAAAGAAACCCATGAAGAAGGAAAACAAAAGGGATGCAAGGGACCAAATGAAAATCACATTGTAATTACCCCCCCACACACACACACACATGCACATATTATGTGGGAGAACTTGGGCTTCTGCAAATGGCATGGGCATCTCAAGGATCTCAAGGAAAGGCAGGAATGCTGTGCAAGAAGCATGTGCTTGGTCTTGACCATGGCAGCATGAAGTACATGTATGCTGGATGTCTATGTTTCACCTTATGGCTTTTTCTTTCTTTCTTTTACAACATCAATGGGTAGGGCCACTCTTTCTCTCCACCTACAGACTGGAGCCGATCCCAGATAGAAGCCACCCTGCAGGCGGCTCTGGTGCTTTTATGAGGCTCCAATGAGAACAAGAGCCCAATCCGAAGTCCATGTGGCAGTCAGAAGACCGCTACAGTCTACACTCAGGCTCCTTGGGGTGCTCCCCCTGACAACACACCTCAGAGGAAGCCTCTGACAGAGGGATGTCCTCAGTCTTCAAACTCTCAGCCATAGGTCGATAGCGAGGGCTCAGGAGTCCCCCTTTCTCCGGAGTCCACTGCAGCACGATGTCCTCCCTTGCATTCTGGTTGAAGAAAGCCTTCAGCCTGTTGGGCTGCATTCTGTGGGCCACCGCCATGGCCAGGCCCAACAGCACACACAGAAGTCCTGCGAACAAGGGCAACAGACGTCCCATTTTAGTGCCAGTAACCTGTCCCAAGGACATCTTCTCCTAGGAGCATGTATCTGAACAACTCTAAGGAAGGGCTGGAGGCCCTGCTTCAGGGCAACTCGGACTCAGAGAGGTGACTAGCTTAGGGTCATACTGCTGGTAAAGCTCTGTTGTTCTTACTTTCTGGACTCCAAGCCCAGGGCTCTCTCAGTTACATCCCAGCAGAGAGAAGGAGAATGAACTGTGAGAACAGAACATGGAGAATGGCAAAGGGGGCAGAGACTGGGCCAAGAGAGGCAGGTAAAACTTGCAGGACAAATCAAAGTGCTATGAGGCAGGGACAGGAGGGTTCTAAGAATGGGGGTCACAGAAGATGTTTGGAGGAGGTAGAAGAGGACATGGGGTTGGAAGAGTTGGAAAATTCAGGGAGGAGCTGAGTAAAGAGAGTTGGGAGACGAGGGGCGTGGCAGAGACAGATAGAATGGGGAGGTGGGGGAGTGCAATCGAAGACAGAAAACCAGAAGATGAAAGCTGTAAGAGAGACTGGGGCTTTAAAGTGGGGAAAGGCAACCCTGGCCCCAGAAGCAGACCCAGAACTCCACCATTGTGGCTGACCCTGCTCTCCTCCCTGTCCTGAGCCCTCTAGTGCCTGTCTTCAGGTCTGGGCCTTACCTGTGGCCAGTGTGATCCAGAAGGCCGGCCCACAGTGAGTGTGCAGTGTGGCAGTGCCCAGGCGCAGGAGACAGGGTGACGTGAAGGAAGTGGCCATGGAGAAGAAGAACAGGGCCAATAGCTGAAAACACCCAGTGGCCAGCAGCATGTGGCTACCATAGACCAGCACGGGCATGGACAACATCACATTGGTCAGCAGCCAGCAGAGAAATGCCACCCTGGAGAGCCAGAAGTGGAGAGAAATGACCACCTTCCTCTACCTGCTGGGGAAGCTGGAGGGGCCTAGGTGGAGGTTCAGGGGCCCATGGAGGCCCCAAAGATGCAAAGTAAGGATTCCACCCCATAGACATCCCAGTCAAGTTCTATGGTGACTGGTACCAGCCTGCCCCATCAGGGACCTCCACATGAGAAGAGGAAGGATGGGTAAAACCTCCTTCCTGTCTCTGTCAGCAGGACCTCCATCCCTTCAATCCTACCATACGCACCACAGTATGGCTGAGGTGTAGTGTCCTGCCAGGCGGTATCGGCGGTGTAGGCCACATGGGCTGCTTGGGGTGAACTTCTCCGCCAGGTAGAGCACAGGGTCCGGCAGCCCCTTCTCCAGTGCCTTTGCATATTCCTTAGCATAGTTCTCACCCAGGCGCCAGGTGAACTCTTCATTATAATTGATAGTCTCATTCAGCTGCTGCACTGGGGTCCCTAGGGAATGGCCAGCTGTGCTCAGCAGGAATCCCAGGGTCAGAGTGTGGGCAGTCATTCATCTGGACAAAGGCCCACCCACACTGGGCAGAGGGACAACCTGTCTCAGCTGGGAGAAGGCAGCTTTCAAGCATTGGCCTCCCTTCCATCCCTCAACACCCCACACATCAGTGCTGGACATCCTGTAATTCTTTGGACCACACCAAACATAGATCCCAGAGATACAGAGTAGAGTCTCCGCTCCCCTCACCTTTGAGAGTGATGTTGAGTCCTCCCAGGCCAACCTGCAGCCCGACATCAGCACTGATCCACTCCGAGCTGAAGGCCTTGTACGATGTATTGGTGCTGACCTGGCCCACTGACCATTCAGAACTGAAATTCACAGCTGGGGTTGGGGAGGTGGACATATAGGAACTCAGGGAGATCTACTCACTACAAGGAACCCTTGTTTCTTTGGCTCTTAATTGTATGCCCAGTAACTAGCGCAGGGTCTGGAGCATGCTAAATCCATAATCAATAAGTAGGATGAATAAATGGGTCACAGTCTAAGATCTCCCTTGGTCATACTCGGTTTGTCCCTTTCCTAGTCCTCCTCCTCCCCACCCACCCCCACCCCACTGTAACAAATTATAACAAACACAGTTTCATCTCTCCTATCTGCCTAGTCACCAAAGCAGAGCAGGCAGCCCTCCCCTGCTTCCTCTGTTCTTGTCTCTAGAGGTCTTCTCCCTCCAGCCCCCCGACAGTTATTTTGACCTGTTCACCCTTGAATATGTTAGGAAGGTTGGGGAGATGCCCCTAGCATGGTTTCCCAGGGGCCCACACTCTTCAGGGCAACAGTAAGAGTGGAGGCAAGAGGCCACGGTGAAGGACACCATGAAGGAACGGGGTCTGGAAGGTCACTCTGAAGCAGGGGCTGCTATGGGGTAGCAAAGCCTGGAGAGGAGTAGACTTGGGGAAGGAGATGGAATGAAGGCAGCTGTCCAAGTTAGCTGTGCTTAGCACTCACCCAGAATCACAGCCCCGATGAATAAGCTGGTCACCACCCGAAGCAGCCAGAACAGCCTCTGAATCATAGGGTGGGTGGGTTTAGTAAGGTGTGCCCTCCCTCCAAGTCCACCCTTAAACTCTTGCAAAATTTGATGGTGATGCTTCTAAAATTGTGGTCACTTGGTCAATTCAGGTCTGCTTATCTGGCACATAGTAGGGGCTCAAAAATTCCCTCTTAAATCAATGAATCAGGTACGAGTGGGTGCTATACTAAGGTGTGGTATGGTGTGAGAATCTTTCTCAGGGCCAGAGTCTTTTTTTCTGAGCTTGGTTGTAGTCAGGGAGACCAGACCTCCACCTGGAGACTGAGGTCTTTCTGGGACTGGGGTTTCCAGGGCTAGGTAGGATTGTTTCTCACCATCTTGCCCCGGATGCCAGGCAGGATGATGATGAAGGTGACCAGTGCCATCAGAAAGATGGTGATGATGATGGCCAAGGTGGTGTCCATTGGGAAGATTGGCTTGGGGCCAGCATAGAAGGGGAATGTGTGTCCCAAAGCAGCCATTTTGGTGAGGATGTGTGGCAGGAAGGAGATGCTGCATGGAACAATAGATATTTATGGAGCGTCTTCCATGTACCAGGCATGTTCTACAACAGACCAGGTCCCTCTCCCCTGAAGCTGACATTTCAATGCTTCACTGGTTCACTGGACTCCACTGTCCCTGCCATTCCACTGCCCTCAGCCACCCTTCCCCATCTTCTGGCTGTGGCAGAATGAGGGTCTTGGTAATCAGTCTCTTTTGCTCCATGGTCCCTTCCTAACCCCAGGTCCCTTAACCTAGTCCCTTAACCCTCAAGATTTCTCTGCTTCCTCTCGGCCTGTCTTAAGAAATAGAATTCTCTTTTCTCTCCCTAGGGCCTACATAAGCAGAGAGATCACAGAACATAAAAAGTGCTATATTTACTATTAAGTGATGGTACAAAAGTGAAAGATAATACAGATAACAAAAAGATTGGCTTTCTTCTTCAATCCTCAGAGGAATAAAGGCCAGACAGCTCTGCTAGTATACAATCCAACTACATCATCAGAGGGCTGATTTCCGAACCTGGTACTGCCTGTACTGTCCAGCTTTCTCAGGAACCTTGGTTTCTGTTTGAGTAACTCCAGAGCAATTGAGCTAACTGAATACACCTCAGTAAGCACTGAAGGATCACTTGCCCTATACCAGGCACAGTGTCTTCTGACCCACACATCACCAACATTGGCCCTTCTATTCAAATTCCCAGGGCTACTTTCAGCTCAAACTTTGGCTTTGGTCTTCTCTGCCCCTTCCCTGATCTCAGCTAGTTTGATCTCTGTCTTCCCTTTACAGAGAAGATACTGAAAAGTGGTACCTGAAATTATTACATTTTACTAAGTATAAAGTTGTTGTTGTTGTTGTTAAGTGCCATTGAGTTGGTTCCGACCCATAGTGACCCTGAACAGGGTTTCTGAGGCTGTAAATCTTTACAGGAGCAGAAAGCCTCCTCTTTCTCCCGTGGAGCAGCTGGTAGTTTCGAACTGCTGACCTTGCGGTTTGCAGCCTGATTCGTAACCACTACGCTACCAGAGTAGACACTATTATTTTATGTACCAGAAAGAAAGAAAAGTGATTTCATTTAAACCACAACAGCCATTGCTTATAAGACACAACCCAATTTCACAGATGTTAAAAAGTGGGGGGAGTGGGGGATGGGGAAGGGGGATGCATCTTAGAATCGATGATCCCAGTTCTGCTCATGGGATCTGTACCAGGATCTCAGTTTGCCCAGAAGGTTCCATAGTTTACAATCTGACCATGTAGCATCTTGTTGAGCAATATAGTGAAAAAATAAGCTTTGGTCAAGCAGTCCTAGGTTCTGCCTCGGTCTCTTTGACCTCTACAGAGACTTGGTTTTATTGAAAAATGGGAATAATAATGTTTACCTCATAGGGTCATTATGAGTATGAAATGAGATTGTGTATGTAAAGTGCTAAGAATAGTGCCTGTAACAATGTAATATCAATAAGTTGAAGCTCCCAGACTGGAAAGGAAGGTTCATTTTATTACTCCATTTGTCTCTTTCTCCAGTCCTTCTTGGAGAGAGAAAGCTCTGGGCTGGAATCAGTTCTGGGTCTAGTTCTAGTTCTTCACTGACTAATTTTGTAACAATAAAGAGGCAAGTGACAACTTTCCTAATCTTCATTTCCTCATTTGTAATTGGATATCCAGGTCTCTTCTAGTTCTATATGCTGTGATTTTCCTACAGTACACCCTAGCTCCCAGCCTGCTCCTCTCCTTCCATGTTGGCTGTCTTTGAGGATAACATGATGTCAGACAAAGAAAAAAACACTTACTTATTAATACTGTCTTTTGAACAAGTCACATAACCGCTGAGTCTCATTTTTAACATAAAGTAGTTTTTGCTTTTTTCTTAACTGTTCAATCTGGCCCCCATCTCAGAGAAATGGGTGTCCTTTCTCCAATGCTGCATATCCATCCTCCGGCTCATGATCCCAATCCTGCCTGCCTTCTCTGTCACATTTCTCATCAATTGTCTCTTTTACCAAAAACAAAAACAAAGGGACACTCCTTCTTGACATTTCTGGGTTCCCTCCAGTGGTTATCCTATGGGACTCTTTCCCTTTCATGGCCAGGCTTTTCTGAAAGAATAGTCTAAGTCTATATTGGTATTTTTACTTGCGCATCTTCTCAGCCCACTTCAATCTGGCTTCTCCCCATCCCTAACTTCTTTATTAAGTCACTAAGTGTTGTATCCAAAGGTCAGTTTTCATGTTTCATCCTTCTTGGATCACTCCCTTTTTCCTCAAACTTCTCCTTGGCCATCCATGCCACCATATTCTCACAGGTCTCCTTCTCTGGGCCACACTATTCTCAGCTCTTACTTAGTTCTTCCTCCTTCTTAAATATTGATGCTCTCTAGGATTCTATTTTGGATCTCTTCTCTTATCACTCTTCAAAATTCTCTGGGCAATCTCATTCCCTATGGCATTCATTGCCATAGCTGGGGCTCTCAAATCTGTATCTCTAGATTAATTTACTACCTGGCCTCCAAACTTAAAAAGCCAACTACCCAGTGAGCATTTTCACTTGATGTTCATGATACCTCAAATCTAACAAGTCCCAAATTGGATTCATTTGTTCTGACCCTGCTTTTTATCCTTTGTCTCTTTGGTAGCACCACTACCCCATGCCATTCAAATAAATCATTTTACCTCCTGAGTATTTCTTGAAACCATTCACACATTTTCATTCTTACTGCCTCTGCCTTAATTCAGTTTCATCATCTCTTGCCTGGTGCTAGAATAATTTTTCTTACAAGCAAACATAATTATTTTACTTCTTTGCTTGTAATGATTTCTGGGACAATCTAATCTCACCATCATATATAAAGTCCATTATAATCTGGTCCCACTTACTCCTTCATTTTCATTTTCTGTTCAGCTGATTCTCTAACAATAACTAAATTATTTGCCTCTCCCTCAATATGACATGCTCTTTCAAGCCTCAATGCCTTTGTATACGTCATTTCCTCTATTTGGAATGCTCTCACCCTTTTGGCAAACTTCTTTACACTCTTCAAGTCTCAACTCGTTACCTCCTCTCTGAAGTTTCCTCTGACACCATTGGGCCAATTTGAGCAGTCTCACCTCGAATGTTCTGATTGTGTTTTGAACATACCTTGATGATTACAACGTCTATAATGGTCTGAACATCTGTCTCCTCATTAAACTCTAAGCTCCTTGAGGGAAGAGGCTTTGGCTTTCCATCTTTGCATCCTCTACACATTGTTGTTGTTAAGTATAGTCAGGTCAGTTCCGACTCATAGCAACTGTATGCACAACAGAACAAACCACTGCCTGGTCCTGTATCGGCCTCACAATACGCTTGTTAAGCGTGAGCCCATTGTTATTGCCACTGAGTTAATCCATCTTGTGAGGGTCTTCCTTTCTTTTGCTGACCCTCCACTTTACCTAGCATGATGTCCTTCTCAGGGACTAGTCCCTCCTGATAATATGTCTGAAGTGTGAGAGACGAAGTCTTACCATGCTGGCTTCTAAGGAACAATCTAGCTGTATTTCTTCCAACACAGATTTGTTTTCTAGCAGTCCATGGTACTTTCAATATTCTTCTCCAACACCATAACTTAAAGGAATCAATTCTTCTACAGTCTTCCTTATTCCTTGTTGAACTTTTACATGCATATGAAGCTACTGCTTGGGTCAGATGTCACCTCAAACTGACATCTTTGATCTTGAATACTTTAAAGAGGTCTTGTGCAGCAGAGTTGCCTAACACAGTAAGTCTAATTGCCCAATGCAACCCCCTACAATAGCATATAGTAATCAGGCTTTGTATATACACCAAATGAATGAATATATGAATGAGTTCCTTTTCCTTCGTTTGCTCCCGATTTTGCACACAAGAGGGAGCTATGCTTCCTCACTGCCCTATAATTGTACTTCATTCTACATTCTTCTGTTCAACATTAACATTAACTGAATTTCATCAGTACTGGACTAAGGACTAACTGGAAGGGATTTGACCAACTCTGGTAATTTGTACTGACTTCACAAAATTTCCAGAAAACCTCTTCCAATAGTTGGAGTCTCCAAAACTAACCAAGACCCAAGCATTAATGAGCATGTTTATTTGAATCAGAAATATATATTCCCACCCTAGTTAAAGTGAGTAAGAATTTATAGATGAAATTAATCTTGTAAAATCTATAAAAATGACAGTAAACAGGGCTTCTAATTAATTCTTCCTAGTGTAGCCATAGCCTGCTAATAACTCTCTCTTAGAAAACAAGGGCAGCGTGTATGCAGCATAGCAACCAAATCTCTTGACCACAGTTGGAAACAGAGTTGCCCCACCCAAAGATGGCAGCTGACTCCTCTGCTTTGAACGTGTGTCATTCTCCATCCTGACAATAATCCAGTATCCCACATCAGGATTCCGAAAGAGCTCACAACATCTTTTCCTAGTCTCTCAATCTAGAGCTTCCACCTGTAACTTTTCCTACTCTGGTTATCATTCTGCTTCATCCCATTTTTTTTTTCCCCCCTAATTCAGGCTTGTCTCAATTTGCTCCCTTGGCCAAACAATATGGATGCAGTATCTGAACAGGTTGGATCTGGTTCAAAACCCTGTATTTAAGGCAGATGATGATTGAGCTAAGAATATTTTATTGACAACACCTAGACAGAAGCCATTACATTTTGATGAAAGGGTGTAGGAGGAAGAATTATAAAGTGTAGTATATACTGGTTAATCAGATGGGACTATAAAGCAAGGTTGCTAATAGCAAGAATACATTTCACATGCTGAAATCGCAAAGCTAAATATTTGCAATACAAGTAATAATATGTAATGCAATTTTCTTTGGTCAGGGTTGAATATTAATAGTATTATACCTACTTTTATTTAAAAGGGAGATTATAAAATATTTTACAAGAACGACTCATCTCTATTAACAGGGTGCTTCAAAGACACACTGACAAAAGCTTTCTGTATCATAAGT